GAGGAGGGTATTGGGTGAGCACGTTCCGTTGTGCTGCCCCTTCCTCTCAATACCTTGAGCTACTAGAGAAGATACTCAGCTCTGATCAAGCGGCTGCGAATACTCCCTCCACTGCTGGCACAGGACCTAGTGGAAGAGTACCAATGAGACGTAAAACCCGAGGACAAGATACCCTGGCACTTGAAACACTCAAAGGAAAAGGAAGTATTGTGGAGTCGGTGGATCTTAGTAAGAGTGAGATTAGGAGACAAAAGAAAGAGAAGAGGAGGAGGGAGTGGGAGGAGTTTAATCAAACGAAGCCAGGGGCTGGTTACGAGGATCCAGAAGAGGTTTCAGCTATTAGTAAAGCAAAGTCAGAAATGGGCGATTATAAGCTTAAGACTTCGAGTGATTACGTTGTGTCCGATCAACAAAGAATGTCCACTGAGAAGAAGAGAAGGGAACTACTGATATGCAGAAACAATGTAAATACATGTACATGTATTAATTACTACTGTACCTTAAAATTCAGTGCTTTATCCTTCATTTTTTTTCCTTTGCTAATTTTTAGCTTAATGTACATGTACATGTATTTTCTGTTGCTTTATGTTTGTTATTTTTTTAGATTTTTGATGCTAAACGTAAATACAATGATAAACTGATGGCCCTCAGAGACTATAAGATTGAAATGATTAAAAAGGTATAACTAATAATAATAAGTAATTTTATCTGTACATGTACACATGTATTGAAATTATAGTAAAGATGCAGCCAATATTTTCCCTTTCTCTCTCTCTCTCTCTAGATTACATTGCTAGTTAATGAACTGAAAAGTGCTCAACGTCATTTGCCTCCCTCTCTTCGTAAACCTCTCCCAACCATTCCAACACTTAAACCTGAAGAAGTCCCTGAAAGGTACGTACTACATGTAAATACATTGTACATTACATGTACATATACAGTGTACATGTAATGTCCGTACATTTACAATACATGTACATGTATACTACTTACATGTACATGTACATGTATACTATATCCCAGTTCAGTTTGGGACGGAAGTGGAAGCAGCTGTGTGGAATTTGAAAAATGACGTAAATAATGATATTCATAGAGGAATGGCGCCTGTGTTGTTTCACTCTTAAAACAGTCTTGCTGCTGCTGATAAGCAGTACAATAGCTGCTGGAGTCAACTAGTCTTCATAAAGGCCATCGTTATCAAAAGATCTCGTTCTATTAGCTTTTTAAAAGAAGAATTATCAGATTGGGCGCTCGACTACATGTGCTTATGTAAACTATGACATCATGAAACGTCATTGTGGTTAGCTTTGGTATGCCATTGGGTTTATAGGGAGAACCCGGTTCTCAAGGTTCCCAAGGGTTGAGAGACCCAAGGTTTCACAGATTTTGATGGACTTTAGCGACTAAGAACCTGTAAAAGTTTCATCCTTATCCCACATTCCA